ATATATATATATATATATATAGGTTTGCTCCCATATACATATAGGTATATGTATATACCGGTACACAAAAAACAACACAAAGGAATAGGTAGTGGAAAAGCTGAACTACTTATTTGTACAGTAATTTGTAAAAAGTGTCAACATTCATAACTTAATTTAGAAATACGACATGCATTCTCCACAGATAGAAAGACAATGACTACATAAAAGTCAGAGAAGTTGTATATTTTTCTGCCTTTGCTTAGCTTTGTTGTTAATATTGGACAAGCTTTAATAACAACATTCTCATCATCCTGTAGTCAGAGATGTTAGAATAAATTGCATAAACACTCTGTGTTCCAGTTTTTGTTTTATCAGTGATGATGATGAATAAATGTCTCCACAGAGGGAAGAAAAGGAAGGCTGTTCGTGAAGAGGAGCAGCTGTCCTGCTGTCTTTCATGCCAGGATGTCCTGAAGGGTCCAGTTTCTACGAGCTGTGGACACTTGTTCTGCAGATGGTGCATTGCCTCATACTGGGATCGGTCTGCACCATCAGGACTCTCATTCTGTCCCAAGTGTGTAAAAAGATCCAGAACTGAATCTGAACCCCAGACAGCCAGTCAGAGCAGCTCCATACAAGGTAAGACATTTTTGGTATCCTGCTGCTTTAATACAGACACAGTTTTAAAACATACAATACAGTGTGTAGGTTCTAAATCTTTATCCACCTTATTCCTGGGGGCTCTACTGTATAAATGATTATGGGTACAACTTCCTGTCACACCCAAGAAGTAACAGTAAGTATTGGTTAACCATTGTAGAGGAGCACGGACCATTATTAATTTTGCTTTGTTTACATTTATTAACAACCATAAATCTGACAAAAATAGCCTTGCTGAGTTCAGGTACCTTTTGTGCTGTTTGCAGCTGCAGGAATAAGGAGACCAAACTAAATCAGTAGCTACAGCAACAGAGTTTTGAACATGGGCATAAAAAAAGCGTTCCTGTGAAAACAGTATACAGCAGTCCCTCGTTTATCACGAGGTATCCATATCCTGAAGACCCACGATAAGTGAAAAACCGCTAAGTAGGAATAGTAGTACAACTAGTGAGTAGTAGTTTATTTTAGTATTTTTATATATACAGTATATATATATATTAAGTAGGGATGCACCGATCCACTTTTTTTTTTCAACTTCCAAACAAACTTTATTATTTTTTTGTTTTTTTACTTCTGATCCGATCCCGATACCTAAATCTAAATATCGGCCGATACCGATCCAGTTCCGATATCATGATCATCATTGATTTTATATGAGGCTGTAATAATCTGCTCTCAAGTACAATTTGTACAAATATATGCATGCATGTCCAAAAAGGCAACTTGAGGTAAGTTTTATTAATGTTGGATAAGTTTTAAAGTTAGAATTAAATTCTGCTAACACAAAACATGTTTTTTTTTTAATTCCTAGTTTTAAAGTGGATATTAAAGTGATTAATTTAAGTGATTGTTTAAAGTTATTTTATATTTTTTTAAATAAGGGGCAGATATAATAATAATTTTTTCTTCTTTCTGCACTCTTTTCATTCAATGTTTTCTTTTTGATGATTTTTTTTTTTTTAAATGAATGAATAAATTAATTAAAAAAATAAAATGTTAAATGGCTTCAAACACCTGGCATAAACCAACAGACATGTTCCTGTTTTTAGTATTTTACATCACTTTATAATGTAGCTGTTTTTGTTTTTAATATAATTTTCAAATCATATGTTTTTTATGATTGTTTACTGTTGTACTGATAAATATCTCCTGGAGGGTAAACTATATCTTGGCTGCAAGTATCAAGCTGTGAAATTTTTCGTTTTCTACAACTGATAGTGGTTGGTCATTAATTATGATGAAGTTTGGTAACTTGTCTGTAAACATTTGAGCTCCGTGGTTTCAGCGGTCTTCTTCTTGTTCAATACGAAGCAAGCAGCCTGATTTGGGGCAGCTGCGCTGAGTCTGTCCCTCCTCAGAGACGGGCAGACTGAGCAGGGCAGATTGGACGCGGCTGGCCGGGGTCGAGTTACCTGTTGTGGGCTGAGCAAAGAGCAGCGCCCCGCTGAAACCACGGAGCTCGAATGTCCAACATAAAACTAACTTTACCGCGGTTAAAAGTGGCGCTATGGCACTGCAGACATTGTATGATGCTGTCTTGTTTTGTGGTATTTCTAGTGTAAAATACTTCCACACAGCGGACATGTTTCGATGAAAAGTTTGTTAGCTGTTAGCCACAGTGCTGCTCACTCAGTCCTCACATTGTAGCTGGCTGCAAACTATGAAATGGATTTCCTGAATGTGAAGCGGGTCTTATTACTCTGGGTTCATGAGACACACCGCCATTCAGGAAATCCATTCCATAGTTTGAAGCCAACATGCATCATGGATCGGAAGTATCGGCAGGTGGATCGGAAAAATCCGATACGTAAATTTTGCTGGTATCGGAGGCCGATACCGATACTGGATCGGATCGACCCCATCCCTAATATTAAGGCAGCATTTTAAACCCTTCCCACACTCTTGCAATACTAAACAATATTTCTAAACAACAATATTTCTAAACTCTAAATGCTCTAAAAGCGCACAGCATGTCATGAACTCAGCTCTCTGCCACTGCTTCACTCTGCGCTCTCAGCCACGCCCAATTCTCTGATCGGCAGAGGAGGAAGGAGTGGCAGAAGGAAGATTCTTCTGCAGCCCACACTGCAATAATAATAAGTGCAGCCCACACGGCAATAATAATAATTTAAACATGAATCAAGACATCAAGGAATTTGTTGCTACCTGATCCATCTGTGCCCACAGCAAGAGTGTTTTTAACTTTTTTTGGACAACAAAAGTGGAAACCAACCTCCTGCTGGCCTACTACAACCTTTACCTATGCCTAGTCACCTATAGTCCCACATCACAGAATGTCTGATTTATAGAGTTTAGCTTAACTCCAAATTTAATATCACTATCACAAATTTACTTTATGATTTACTGATGACTTTACAGTGATGCTTAATAAAAGGAGAGCATAGTTCAAGTTTTATCAACGAAATGGAGTTCAGGAGGCAGAAATGGGAAAAAAGGATTCAAGGTTCTTTATTTGTCATGCACACCACATGTGGTACATGTGGTGGAATGAAATTGTGTACACAGGGACTAATAAGAACAAGAACAAACAATGATGATCTGAATCAGTTTGTGTCTTCAAACAGGATGACTGTTTCCTTTCTGTTTGTTCTGTTTTTTCCATCAGATGTTGCTTTGCAGGAAGTTTTAGATGAACATAAGGTCAGTCTGAGGAGAAGATGTGAATGTGTGACTGAAGAACTTGATGAAACAGGAAGTAGAACCCTACTGAACAGGATCTACACTGAGCTCTACATCACAGACGGGCAGAATGAGGAGGTTAATACCCAACATGAGGTGAGGCAGCTAGAGACAGCTTCTAAGATAAAGAAAGTTCATGACACTCCAATCAGGTGCCAAGATATCTTTAAAGCCTTACCTGAGCAACATGGATTCATCCGAGTGGTTCTGACCAATGGTGTCGCTGGTGTTGGAAAAACCTTCTCGGTGCTGAAGTTCACTCTGGACTGGGCTGAAGGCTTGGAGAACCAAGATGTGGGCATGGTGGTTGTGCTTTCGTTTAGGGAGCTGAACTTAATCAGAGATGAGCAGCACAGTCTTCTCACGCTGCTCCATGTTTTCCATCCAACATTACAGAAGCTCCCAGCAGAGAAGCTGTCTGTCTGTAAACTTCTATTCATCTTTGATGGCCTGGATGAAAGCAAACTCTACCTGGATTTCTCCAACAGTCAGCTAATTTCTGATGTGACACAGAAGTCCTCGCTCAATGTGCTGCTGACAAACCTCATCAAGGGGAACCTGCTGCCCTTGGCTCTGGTCTGGATCACTTCCAGACCTGCAGCAGCCAATCAGATTCCTTCTTCATGTGTGGACAGGCTAACAGAAGTACGAGGCTTCACCGATGCCCAGAAGGAGGAGTACTTCAGGAGGAGGTTCAGTGATGAAGAGCTGTCTAGCAGAATCATCTCCCACATCAAGACCTCCAGGAGCCTCCACATCATGTGTGGAATCCCAGTCTACTGCTGGATCACTGCTACAGTTCTGGACCACATGTTGACTACAGAGCAGAGAGGAGAGCTGCCCAAGACCATGACTGACATGTACTCACATTTCCTGCTGGTTCAGACAAACAGGAAGAAGAAGAAGTACCATGAAGGACCTGAGACCAGTCCACAGGAGCTGACAGAGGCTGACAGGGACGTCCTTCTGAAGCTGGGGAGGCTGGCGTTTGAACATCTGGAGGAAGGAAACATCATGTTCTACCAAGAAGACCTGGATCAGTGTGGTCTGGATGTCACAGAGGCCACGGTGTACTCAGGAGTTTGTACAGAGATCTTCAGAAGAGAGTGTGTGATCTTCCAGCAACCAGTCTATTGCTTTGTTCATCTGAGCATTCAGGAGTTTCTGGCTGCCATCTACATGTTCCATTGTTTCACCAACAGGAACATGGAGGTGATGAAGAGGTTTCTGGGAAATGTTATTTTCAAAGCTGGTCAACACTGGTCTCTTAATGTTTTCTTGTACAGAGTTTTGGAAAAGTCCCTGAGAAGTAAAACAGGCCACCTAGACCTGTTTGTTCGCTTTCTTCATGGCCTCTCTGTGGAGTCTAACCAAAAACTTTTAGGAAGCGTTCTGGGTCAGACAGAGAACCATACAGAAACCATCAAAAGAGTCATCAAGAACCTGAAGAAGGTGAACAGTTTCGGTACTTCTCCAGACAGATGCATCAACATCTTCCATTGTCTGATGGAGATGAATGACCTCTCAGTTCATCAGGAGATCCAAGAGTTTCTGAAGACAAAGAACACACCAGGAAAAGTCCTCTCTGAGATCCAGTGCTCAGCTCTGGCCTACATGCTACAGATGTCAGAGGAGGTTCTGGATAAGCTGGACCTGAAGAAGTACAGTACATCAAAGGAGGGACAATGGAGGCTGATTCCAGCTGTGAGGAACTGTAGAAAGTTTCGGTGAGTCAAGATGTGTTCATTAACATCATCTGTCAGTGTAAATTTGTGGTTTAATTATATTTATTATCTCCTGCATGAATCGCCACCATATAGCATATAGTGGAGTTTGTGCACCTGAATGATCCTAGGAGTGTCAAGAGTCAGGGGTTTGGATTCAGAATATAGCCAAACAACAAGAGTGTAAAACAACTTAAATAAATTTAAAGATGTGCAGCTGCTGGTAAAAGTCAGGGTCCAGTTGTGGTAACAGGTCTGCACAGGCAGGTGGGGTGAGAGCCACTTGTCAGAGTCTGGAGAGATGACATCACTGTAACTAGATACAGGACAGCTGGAGGAGCACTGTGATTAACGTGGTCCATGGGGCAATCTAATAGTGAAGTCCGATCAACTAAGTGGGTGTCATGCACAGGTAGTCAGAGGTCCAGAATACAAGTCCAATGGGCAATCCAATAGTGAAGTCCGCTCAACTAAGTGGGGGTCATGCACAGGTAGTCAGAGGTCCAGAATACAAGTCCAATGGGGCAATCCATAAATCCAAAATCCATAAGGCCAAAAACTTAGTTATACCAGGGTCAGATGAGCATAGCAGAATCAGACAAGGGGCAGGCACAGCAGTAAATCTAAAAGACAAGGTGTGAGGTCGAATCCAAAGAACAAGGCTTGAGAGTCAGGCGTGAATGTGAACAGGAACAAGAAGGCTGGATATCATAAACCTTGAAAGGTACGATAATCTGGTGGTGAGGAGTGGTAAGAGAAGTCCTAAAATATGGGCATGAACAGGTGTGGTGAATAAACTCTTATGATCATCAGGTGAAGAGTGGGTGTGGCAGAATGACATAGGCCTGTGAGCATGGTAGCTCAAGTTCTCTTGCTTTCTGGATTTATCTGTCTTTTGCACAGTTTTTCATTCTAGTTCACAAACACAGTACAGTTGTTTTTCTACTGTTGGATAGTGCTTAAAGCACCTTTTATCTTTCAACACTTCTCGGTTTTTATTGGTGTATTGGGAACTGCTAGCTCTTGCTAGCATTAGCTTAGCATGGCTGCTGCTTCTCTCCTGGCTTCCTCTGTTTTCACTTGCTCTGCGTGTCAGATGTTTAGCTACTCCTCTGCCTCCTTTAGTGGTAATGAGGTATGTAACAAATGTAGTCTTATGGTAGCTTTGGAGGAGAGGCTGTCTGAACTGGAAGCTCGGCTCCGCACTGTAGAAAAACCAGTAGCTAGCCAGGTCCCCTTAGACAGCGCGGAACCACAGAGTTTAGCTTCCGTTATCAGTCTTCCAGCAGACCCGAGCAGCCGGGACCCCAGGCCGGCTAGGTGATGTCCGGAGAAAACATAGTGCTAAGGATAAGCCCCCAGTTCACCACGGACCCGTTCACATTTCTAATCGATTTTCCTCGCTCAGTGACACCCGCTGAGAAGCAGACCCTGGTTATTAGCAGCTCTATAGTCCAAAACATGGCTTTAGGAACTCCAGCGGCCATAGTGAAATGCATTCTGCGGGCAAAATAGAATCTTATCTGAAACTGCTGACTAAGGCTAAGGCTAAATACAGTAAGATTGTTATTCACATCGGCGGTAATGACATCCGGTTACGCCAATCGGAGGTCACTAAAATTAATGTTGCTTCGATGTGTGACTTTGCTAAAACCATGTCAAACTCAGTAGTTTTCTCTGACCCCATCCCCAACCTGACCAGCGATGACATGTTTGGCCGTAATGTCGTTGTTTAACCGCTGGGTGTCCAGGTGGTGTTCTGGCAACGATATGGGCAACATAGATAACTGCAGTTCTTTTTTGGGAAAACCTGGTCTGATGAGGAAAGATGGCATCCATTCCACTTTGGACAGAGCCGCTATTCTTTCTAAAAATATGGCTGATTTTGTTTTATCACCCAAATTATTGACAACCCAGGGTCCAGTCCAGGAAGCAGAGTTGTAGTCTTCCACACCTCTCTGGTGCTTCTCCTCTGTTACCCACCCATACCCCCATTGAAATAGTGTCAACTCGCCCACGGCTCAAATTAAATAAACCAAAAATCAACTCTAAAAATATAAACCACAAAAATCTTATTAAAATAAACACAGTTACTTTACCAGAGCAAAAAATCATAAAATCATTAAATGTGGATTATTGAACATCAGATTCCTTTTCTCTTAATTGCTGTTAGTTAATGAACTGATAACTGATCATCATTCTGTTCTATTTCGTATAGGCTTCACCCTTTAAGACTGCAGCTAGTGGGTTTATCCCTAGGCGCGCAGCGCAGCACTGAAAACTTTAGTCCACACCCACCTGCTATGTGGACCTTACCCCCGGTCCGTATAAATTACGGTGAGACTGGGTAATCAACTCCCATTTTTTCTTCAGCCAGCTAGCTAGCACTGTCAGAATAACGAAGAAAGAAAAGTTGTCCAGCTCTGACTGGCACAACTTTTGCTAAGGATGCCTGGGTCTCCGCCACTCCAACCCCCTGCCGTCCCGGTGAGCTCTTCCTCCCTGAGGAGAAGCAGACAAGCAGCCTTGTTCAAGGTAAGTGCAGAGGAGTGCTTTTCCGTGGCGGGCTGCTACCCGCTGGACAATGCCATATCTGTTTCTAATGTTTTTTTTGCCCGTGGTAATCGAATGATTTCCTTGAATAAGGCAATGTTAGTAGCAGCCCCACTGAATGTTTTTCCGTGGAGGGCCGCTACTCGCTGGACGACGCCACTGCCTTTTCTAATGTGTTTTTTCCTCATGGTAATCAAACGATTTCCTTAAAAAGGTGATGCTAGCAACAGCCCCGCTGAATGTTTTTCTGTGGAGGGCCGCTACTTGTTGGACGATGCCACCACCTTTTCTAACATGTTTTATTCTCAAGGTGAATCGGATGATTCCCTCAAAAAAGGCATTGTTGGCAGCAGCTCTGCTAAGTGTTTTTTTCTGTGGTGGGACGCTATGCGCGGGACGATGCCATCGCCTTCTTTGACGCAGAGTCACGCAGTGAATCGAATGATTCCTCCGAGAAAGGCAATGCGGAACCGCCCCTTCCCTCCTGGAGAGCATAGTGACGGAAGACGAGTGGCCGAGCAGATGCTCAGCCACCTAGGATCTTCCCACGTCGATGACCACACCGCTCCCAGCCGTCGGAGCTGCCTGGCATAATCCAGGAGGATGTTAACACAAGGGACTTTCTGTCCCTCACCTCCCTCCGCACTGATCGGATGATCTGGTGGCAAGATTGGCTCCGCCCTGGCTCATCGCCCTGATCCCATCTGGCCTTGCTCTCCAGCTGTGATGTCACACTGGAACGAGGCTGCAGCTGGGCCCGGCAAGCTGAAGACATCCATCTTCACCTTCACCTCCATCTCCAGAGTAGAGGGTTTTACTGATCTGTGTTTTTTCCCTCGGTCCCCCCCCCCCCGGAGCCAAGCTTGGCGGTGACACTTGGGGCTAAACCTTCCAGGATGGACCAGCAACCTGTCCCTCCAGGGAAGCATGACCAGATGGTGACATGGTCTCAACTGTGCTCACCAGTGCACATTCCAGATGACCGCAGCAAACAACAACATCACCCTGCTGGCCTACAGCGTCTCTAAGAGGCTGGAGGAAGCAGACCTGCTGGAGGAGACAAAGAGCTCTCTTTCTCTAAAGCTGCTGATGTCATCTTAAACATGTGCCACCTCTGCGGTCTTTCTGTCCTGCATCGCCGCCTGGATGACCATGATCTAGAGGAACACTTGGCTCCGCCTCTCGCCATTCTTGTCTGAGAGGCTGCAGAAAGACCTGCTGGAGGGCCTCATCACCTCAGAGGTGCTGTTGGGGGCCAACTTCAGGACCATCCCTGAGAAATCGCAAAGGTCTGAGGAGGTCTCAGAGACCTCACCATCTGGTGACGTCACAGTCCTCCTCTCGCCCCTCCGGCCACTAGAGGGACCGCCTTGGCCAGCAACAGCAGCAGAGGCACTCTACAGCTGCGACAGCGATTTCACGCCCCGCACCTCCGCCGGCCCCTTCCACCAGGTAACAGATCCTTGAGGGGAAGGTATGTGCTTTTTTGATGATGTATGTTTTTTATATAAAACAGAAGCACCTCTGGAAGTAAAGTTTTTTCATCTGAGACTGTCTGATCAGCTGAGCTCACAGCTGCCTCTCTTCACACACTCCCCACACAGAATGATCCAGTAACCTCTAAACAGCATTTTAAATGGCACCACAGTTCAGTAAATATCACAAAACACTCGTCTGCCACGTCAGCTAAAATTATGTTTTTTCAGCAGACCGAGTCCAGTAAAATCCCTCGTTTTCAGCCAGAGCCCGTTTTAATTTCTGCTGTTTTATGCCCACTCACAGCGCAGCGAGAGTAAACGTGTTTTCTCCACGACAGCTGCAGCCTCCACCGAAATGGCGTCTCACCCAGAAAGCGCTCACACTTCCTCTCAGTGTGCGCTGGCTCACCTCAGCTCTATGTGAGACCGCAGCTTGGGCTCAGCACAGAGGCACACATACAGCCCTTTTTCTGTCGGAGCCCTCCTCAGGTTTCCCCCGGAGAATCTCCGGAGTGAATGATGGCAGTAAGGATTTTTAGTCTGGTTGACGTTCATGAGAAACATGACACAACACAAATGCGTGCCCGCTCTCCGAGCGTTACTCAGAGTGACAGCGAGTGTGTTCCCTGGACAGATGGATGGACCGTCTGATCAGAAGGGGTTACACGCTGCAGTTCGCAGCTCAATCCTCACCGTTCAGAGGGATTATAGAGACAATTCTGTCTTCTCCAGAACAGAGCTCGTCTCTCCAGTCAGAAGTTCAGGAATTTCTGACGAAAAACGTGATTTCCAGATTTCCCAACAGAGAGGAAAATACGTTGTTTTTCCTCCCACTACTTCCTGGTTCTGAGAAAAAAACGGAGGGATGAGACCATTCTCAACCTGTTCATGTTCAGCAATTCGATCATGGGGAGACAATTCCACATGCTGACTAACAGCTGATGGAGAACTTCACCAGAACGACTGATTTTC